CCCCAAAACCCCAAAACCCCTCAATGGAAGATAAAGAAATATAGGGTTAAATCATTTTTAAAAATTAATAATATCAAAGGTAACTTCAATTTCAAATTCGTATTCATTAATATTTGAAATTACTTCGCAGAGTTTAGTTGCTATTGGTTCATTTTGAAACTCATATAGAACTTTCAAGTCACTTATCAAACTTAGCTTAGATCGATAATACTCCTATTTTAGTCTCTCTCTGATTAATGAAATATCTATTTGCTTGCAATCAGTTGCTTTGTATTTTCCTTACTTATTGAAGTTTTTGAATACTTTCTCCATCTACTTTATTATGAAATCTTAATCCTTTTTATTTATATTATAGCTCAATCTGAAACTCTAGAAGTTTATGTCCCAAAAATTGATTAGATAAAATTCATGATCATCTTTAAATTTACAATCTATTGATTACCAATAAGTAGATGATTCGTTTATCTCAAGAATGCTAGATAATTATTTTTCATTTGCAAAGTATTCAACATATAAAGGTAGAGCTCTATTAAGAATTTATCTTTCAAAATGTTATCTCTAGTAGTTGAAAATATCTCTTAGAATTAAAAAGTGCTAATCAGCACATCTCATCCACTTTATAACAAAATGACTTCTGCTTTTCAGAATTTTTAATGTAATCTTAACCAAATAATCAAGATCTTAATCCATTTCCAAGATTTATCGTCGTATAAACTCACTAGGCTCTTTAATAACAACTTGTACTATTTCGCATAAAACATCCCTTTCAAGTAAATCTGCTTACTATTCCCAAACAAATGGATTCTTTGCTGTTTCTTTTCTTCCATTAAAAAATAGATGATCGTTCTATTTGATGAATTCTTCATGGCCATCTTTTAAGTAATAAACTATATCTCCTACTTGAGGGAAATATGATCCTTAATGATTTATTTCAGTATGCTTTATTGTTCTAAACTAACTTATTCTTGTAAGTTCTTGCTTAAGATCATTCTAATTATATCTCTCTCTATTTAAACAGAAATAGCAAATATACTTATGCTCATAGTCTTTTGCCTCTATTAGCCTCAATTAAGCACAGTCTGTGCCATGGAAATAAATACCACAAAGCAAACAAGATACTGTTCCACCAAGTTTTTTGCATCTTCCACATCTAAATTTCTCAGGACTTTCTGATTATGCCTCAATAATACTTGTGAGACCATTGTAATTCCTCTTATTATTGTTTTTATTTACTTCTGATTATTAAGTTTTATCCTAGAATATATAGTCATTAATTTCAAGACAATTTTAATGAAACCAGTAGATCTAGTTGGTCTGCATATCTAAGAATGGACCTATAAAATTTATACCTGATTTCTAGCAAAAATGGCATTCTTTGTCTTTAACTTCCTAATTAAAAAAGATTAAAATACAATTCATACATTAAAATCTTGTTCTGGCATAAAAATCACTCTATTTCTAAATAAAAGTGTTGAAATAAGTATAACATACTTTTCAATTACTGAGAAATCTTTCTCTACATCTGAGTGATAGTGGGATGGAGTTGTACTATTGCTAAGAAATTTCAATACTTTTTAGGGAGTTTATTAAGATTTTTTTTTCAATTTTCTTGCTAACTATATCTGAAAATTATCTTCTTCAATAGTCTGCATTATTTGCTCGAGATGTTAGATTCTTTCAATCAAATCAGTTCATTATTAGTAGGAAGGGGAATTTCTTACTTCTCTGGGAGCAGCTTCATTAGTTGAAATAGCATTGTTGAAACTAGCCCTTTGTAATGAAGATTAAAGCAATGACGTAGATTATTATGTGTAGTCACCTAAATTAGGAAAATAAATTAAATTATTCTGAATAAGCATTACTTACTATCGTTGGAACTATCTGTATCAAATGAGTTCGTAATATTACTCAATGACAATTCAAAAGATCCATTCATTTTCTTTAAGTCCTTATAAAATTATTTTTCATTCATGATTTCTTGCTATCTTAACTCAAGAAATTTTTCATAAGTCTCTGAATTTTGATTGATACTTGAAGTGTAGTTATAAGGTAAGAAATTTTAGTTACAAAGACTAGTATCCTTTATGAATACAATAAATGGATCTTATTATCTTTCTTAATTATCCTGAGGAATGAACTACTCTACATTGCAAATTTTCATATTTCTATCAGATTTTATTCCAAAAAGAGATATCGACCCTAATTCAGTCCCTATTGCAAACTAACTCCCATCTGGGCTAAAATTCATACTGAGGATTTTATTTTTGAGTTAAGGCTCTTTACAATACAAACCTGATTCGTGCTTTTTCCTAAGTAAAGTTCCAGATTCTATATCTATGATGCAGATCTCACCTTGAGAACCAGCAACAACTACAATCTCATCAATAGTTGGATGAGGCATCATCCCAGTTATTCAAAAATTATTCTCTTATTTATCATCTACTATGAATTGATTAATCATTTTTATCTTGTTGAGATAGTTTGATTTCAAAACATAGAGTTCAGACCTTAAATTACTGCTAATTCATCTTGAAAATCTAAAGTTTTTTATGATAGGTATAATTATATAGACTTGTCTACAAGAGAATATAAATTCTACCATTTCTGAACGGAAAATCGAGTTTTTTTCTTGAGTTTTAATTTATAACAAGATATTCTTTTTAAAAGGATAATCTCCACTTTCATGTATTTAGACAAAATAATCATTAATTTGGTTATCTCTAGGAATGTGACTCGAAAAATCATATCCAATTAGTACATTATCAGATTGTAAGAAAATAATTTTCTAGCCAAACTATTGATAGATCTTCATATTAATAAGTTCTTCTTTCATTATAAAAAGGCTTAGGAGTGGCTTTTCAAGCAGAACATCTCGATAAAATCCCAAACTCCATATAAAAATTTCACTATTAAATGAACTCGCAGCTAAATACGCCCCTGTAGAAGTGGCGTTAATATCAATTATTAGTAACTCTTATTTCCCATTATTTCTTTTCTTAAATGGTTAAGTTTTCAAACTCAATTATCTTGAAAACAATTTATCTTCTCCTTCAATCAAGATATGAATTTGATCATTTTCTGAAATAATTAGTATTTACTTCTCTTACAAGATGTAAAACTTGTGATAGTAAATTGTGCTAAACGATAAAGATTTTATAATTTTATTTTTATCGAAATCCCAAATTTCTAAAGTACACAATGTTTCCATGTACTATCAATGAGAATAACATAAATCTTACGCTGAGACTACAGTCATATAATTACCTTTAACACTCAACTCTAGGTCTTTGATATCTTTTTTATGCCAAAAGTAAATTGTTGCCTCTAGTTTAAGCATTTAGCTATCAAATATTCTAATGCTACTTTCTTCTCCACCACTAATAAGCTTCGTCCCAGAGTTATTGAATTGAAGATATCTCGTTCCTTACATTTCTAGCATTAGGCTTTCTTGATGAGTTAAGATCGTTCTTTATCTTTTGTAGTGAAAGTAAGGGTTGCTTTGGTAAGTTTAGGTATAAATGTGCTTCCTGATTTGCTTAATCGTTCTCTTATTTGATTTTAGCATTAATACTATACTTTTCGATTAATTTATCATATTACTGTCAAATGCCCTTGATTATCCATCTTCTTAAAAGATTTATTCTATTATTTAGTCAAATCATTCTATTTTAATTGAATTTGAGTCTAGGCAATGTCCGAACTCAGAATCTACATATTCACCTTTCCAATTTAACCTTTTTGGTGCAGTTAATTATAATTATTATGCTAACTTCTCTACCCTGTCCTTACCCTAAATATTGTTCTTTATTAATTCCATCATGTACTTTCTTAATTTATTCTAGATATCAAGCATCATTAAAATTTTATAGTAATTATTACAGGGAGATACGCTCCAATATGTTTAATAAGAATTACACTCAAATAATAATTTCTCTTTCTTGCTAAATGCTATGATATTAAACTAGCGGGGTTTTGGGGTTTTGGGG